CTCCCCTCCCCCTCCCAACTTGTCTCTTTATTTGTGGAGATTAATGGTGATTCCCTGAATACAGAGGGCTGTGGTGGGGCCAGGGGTAGGTGATGGGGGCAAAAGGGAGGGGCTGAGGAGAAGGCAGCATCAGGTTCAGGGGCCAGTTGGTGGTGACAACCACCCACAGGAGGAGAAAGCCACTGGGTCCCAGAATGCCTGGGGACAGAGAAGTGGTGGCTGCTGACCCAGTCTGGCCGGTGAGAGGCCAGGGAGGCACCCCACACTTTCCCTTCCCATCCTGCTCCACCTTCCTCCTCTTGTCTTCCCCAACTCCTGCCCCCCTTCCACTTCTGCCCCCCACTCAGTGAAGCTTGTCTCCTCTGAGGAGTGCATCTCATATCAGGATAGCTTTTGGAGCTGTGGGAGTTTAGACAGCCATGGTCCTGGGGGTCCAAGAGCACCCAGGCCTCTCCTGTCACTGAGAACACCCCCGATTCCTCCTTGACATCACTATATCTTTGTCCTGCAGTGAACCAGAGACGCCCACCAGCCCCACTGGAGCCACCGTCAGTTTCTGCTGAGGCTCCAGGGCCCTCCACACCTGCTGTGGCCCCCAGTGCCTCCCACAAAAGCTACAGCGACGAGGAGCAAAGTTACCCCATGCCTGTCCAGGACACCCAGCTGCCCGCTTCCATGGGAGAGGTGTGTCCTCACCGTCTACCTTCTGCCCCTGCTTTTGTGTTACTGTCTGCCTACTTCTGCTCACCCAGCCTTCCAGAAGCCCTCTTCTACACCCCACAAATTGTGCCTAATCTCTGCTTAGAACCCCAGGGTTCCCCTGGTGGGTGTCTGCCTCAGATCAGCTTCCAGACTGTTGACCAAGGCTTCATTCTGTGGCAGCCCCTGTCCTCTCATCAACCAGCTGTGAGGTCACAGTTTGAGGTCTTTGAAGTGGTGCATGTGAGATGTTGAGAGACCAGGGGTTGACCACATGAGGGGGAGTGAGGGAGAAGGAGGTGATGGGGTAGTGGGTGGATGGTGGAGCTGTAGTTATTGCCAATAAAGTGAAGTTTGGGGGAAAGATGACTGATTTTAGTGGGATATGATGAATGGGCAATGGGTGTCCTGGAGACACCAAACTGTGGACTTGAAACCCAAGAAAGGGGTCTGTGCAGTGGCTCTACAGAGGGGGACCTTTCTCCAAGACCAGACAGATAAGATAGGGACTCCCTAGGAGATGGTATATGTGTTTTCTAGGAGGTGGTTTTAAAGTCACCTATAGATAGAGGGTCTGGCAATGACTAAAGCCAAGGCAGTTGCTTTCTTGTTTCCTGTGCTTTGTGGTATGGGCTGAGGTCTGCAGGAGTTGCTCCACAGCATAAGCTGTCCTTTGCTAGTTCCTGGGAGAAACAACTAACTTGTTCACATTTTGCCTCTTGCAGAGTTCAAAGAAGGTCCCACAGACAGCCAGTTCTGGGGCTGACCTGAAGAGGCCCAGTGGCCCCCTGGAGCCTTCCTCTGACATGGCAGTCCTCAGCCCTCTGCCCTCCAGTGGACCTCAGAAGCAGGATGTAGAACTGGGCAGTACCCACACAACAGGTATGTGTAGAATCTGGAATTATAGGGCCTTTCTGACTTCTAAGTGAGGGTGAGGGTTAGAGTTGCCCCTCTGGCTTCCTTGGACAAGACGCAAGGGTGGGAATAAAGGGAGTTTATCCCAGGGAGAAACCCAATTCTGTAGAAGGTATATTGGTTATCATTTGCTATATAACAAACAGTCCCCAAAATTTAATAGCTTAACACCTTGCTGACCGGTCATGAGTTACCCTGTGTTTCCATTCCCAAATGTCGTTGACTGGTCACGAGATAATTCGTGTTTGCACTTCACTGCTCGGCACCTATTTCAGCTATCTCTAGTTTTCCTCGTTGTGTGCGCCTTTTCCTCAGCTCATCAGTCAGTATTTCCAGAGATGTGATGAGCAATACATCTAATTATTTCCATCCATCTTTCATTATGACAAAAGTGTTTAAAAAGACGTGTGGCGGCAGAGAAGAACATTTGAGCGACTTATGTGCAGACACTTTGTCTGACTGGCCGAGTGACTTTGGTAGTCAGCTGGAAAATAGTACTTTGTTGGAAGATAGTAATGAATCTGACATTAGACCATCACGAAGGCAAAAGAGAAATGTGATAGTATCCAACAGTGAAAGTGATTCTGAAGAAGAATGGGCAGAAAAAGACATTTTACCAGCCTTGGAGGATTATAAAAATATTTCAGGTGTAACTGTTCAATTTGAAGACCCACAAAGTATAAGTGAAGTAATCAATTTATTTTTTGATGAGGATTTTTTCAATCTCATTACTTCTCAAACCAATTTATACCATCACCAAGTGAAAAAATACCGTAAAACCTCTGCTAAAACTTCACCATGGACGGATGTTACTTATATGGATATAAAGAAGTTTCTTGGCTTAATTATATTGATGGGACTAACGAAGAAGCCAGAATGGACAGATTACTGGTCAACTGATCCTTTACTTGAATCACCCATATTTTCAAAAACTATGATTAGAAAGAGGTTCGAGCAAATACATTCTTTCATCTGAATGATAATTCACAAATAACATGTAACACAAACCGTCTTTACAAAGTCAGACCTCTTTTGGATCACTTTATCTCAAAATTTAAATCTTTATATATACCAAAACAGCAGCTATCACTTGATGAAGCAGTGATCCCATGGAGAGGACCCATCAGATTCAAGATGTATAATCTGGCAAAAGTAATAAAATATGGAATTTTAGTAAGGATGCTTTCTGAGAGTGAGAGTGGCTATATTTGCAACTTTGAGATATATACGGGTGAGGGCAAAAAGTCACAACAGACTGTATTATCCATCTTACGGCCTTTTCTTGGTTCTTGGCATCATATTTACCAAGATAATCACAACAGCATGTCTACAGCTGAACTGCTATTGAAGAACAAGACACTGGTCTGTGGAGCAATGAGGGAGAGCCATGGGCTGCTGGAACTACTAAAAGAAAAGTCAAAGAGCCTTCAGAGAGGAGAAACGACGTTTTTGTGGAAAGGTCCCATTCTCCTCCTCGCATGGAAAGATAAAAGGCCAGTACGTATCATATCTACCATTCATGATGCCTCTACGATATCCACACGTAACATCACGAAACCTGTGTGTATAGTAGATTACAACAGATACATGAAGGGAGTCGATCGAGCAGATCAATATTTGGCATATAGCAGTATCTTGCGCAAAAGTATCAAATGGTATAAAAAAGTAGGTTTCTTTTTGATAAATTGTGCCTTTTTCAATGCGTTTAAAATTTATTGCTACAATAATAAAAAAAAAAATGAGGTACAAAAATTTTCTACTCGAAATTGCTAGAAAGTGGATTACAGAAAATTCAGCCGAATGCAGCACACAACCTAGCACCTCTTCCATTATGTCTAGAAGACCTCCAAATAAAGATTGGCCATTCAGATTATCAGGAAAATTAAAAGATCATGTTTTACAAAAAATAGTAACCAGTGGTAAAAAACATCCCACTAGGGCGTGTGAAGTATGTTCTTCTAAGGGAAAGCGTAGTGAAACACGATATGTATGTAAAACTTGTTTAGTACCATTGCATGTAGGTACATGTTATACAATATATCACACTAAAAAAATTATTAAATATAAAAATTCAATAAAATATGTAAAAATATTAAAATATATGCAATACGTTTAATTTCAATGTATGGTAATATAAATATAAGATATGACAAGATAAAGTACATTAAAGTTTATTAGATGCTTTCATTTAATATTCAAATGCAGAAAAGTAGCTGGCTGCACAGGCAAGTTCTGGCTTGAAACAGCTGATCAGCAAGGTGTTAAAATATAACTTTTTATTTAGTTCATGATTCTGTGGGTCAGCAACTTGGGCTGGTACAGCTGGTTCAGATTTTGGCAGAATTTCCTCTTGTACACACACTAGTGTACACACACTAGTGTACACATAAGCTCTGCTTGTGGCTGTTGTCTGGGGCACCTTGGTTCTCTTCCATGCGGCTCTCATCCTCCAGCAACAAGCCTGTTTTATGGCAGCTGAGCAGAGTTCTGAGAAAGAGGGCTCCTGGGGCATAGGCTCAAAACTGGCACAGTGTTCCTCCTGCCTCATTCAGTGGGCCAGAGCAAGTCACAGGGGCATCCCAGAGTCAAGGAGTAGGGAAACACTCCATCCTTAGATGAGAGGACTGACAAAGTCACATTGCTGAGGGCGTGGGTACAGGAAGGAGAAGAGAATTAGGGCCACTTCTGCACTCTACCAAAGGGACTCTATAAGGGATCTGCCAGCACCTGGAGGATAGTGCAGAAGGGAAGAGTACAGGGCTGGGCCTGCTGTTGGGAGGGGAGCCCTTGGATACTACCCTGCTCTAAAACCGACTCTAGCTCCCAGCAAATCACTAAAACTTCCCAGCTCCAGAGGAGGTATGGTCTTCATCAGCCAAGGGCCTGGATCCCCACACCAGACCTCAGTGCTCCCCCTTAGGAATATAGAGCTGCCCACTCTGAACTGCCAGGCTGGCATCTCTCTGCACTACTGTTTCCCAAACTGTGTTCCACATGACACTGGTGCTCAGCCAGCCCTCGGTGCCCCTGGGACAGCCACAAGGCCCACAAGTAAGGCTTAGAGAAGCCATCTTAGTGCCTTATACTCCTGTCACCTCAAAATTGTGCGCCAAGCATCCATTTGCATTTTGTAGTGTCAGCTTGCCCTACAGTACCTTTCAGGAAATGCTGCTGTGGACTTGAGAGAGGCAAAGGGCACTTGGATTTCAGTCATGTGTAGACAGGTCCCATAAGATTCTGTGGTGGTATATTTGGGGTGGGGGGCACATCAGAATCACTCCTGGCCTTTGTTAGGCCTGGTGTGTGCATTCTCAGAGTTCCATGGAAAATTCTGATATAACCGCCTTACGGATGATCACCACCTGCTCCCTCTTGCTTCCCCCAGAGCACGCCCGCCTCCCAGGGGTGGCTTTGTGCCTGCACCCCCCCCATCTCAAGCCCTTAGGCCTCCTAGGAGATTTGCATGCTCTGGGGGTTGGCTGGGCCTCTGGGACCACGTGACTGGTATGAGCTCTTCTGCTTGAGCCACCCTGCTGCCCCTAGCCTTCGTCCAGGATTGTTCCTGTTGGGCGTGGGGTGGGGAGAAAAGATGGCAGTGGGAGGAGCATCCAGGATTCCACCAGGCTAAGGAGAAGATGGAAAAGGCAGACACCAGAGGAAAGGGGGGTGTCTCAGGCAGAAGAAGAAAAAGAGTGGATAATTAATGATATTCAAGCTCCTAGAGGCTGTTGGAGTGATGGACCATTTCACTCTTACGAGAGAACAGACTCAGTGCCATAGGTCAAGGACAGAATACACAGGGCCAGGGATGTACCTGCAGCTGTTGGGACTTCAGGCCTGGGGGCAGTGACCAAAGGTACTGGGTAGGAAGCAGGGAGGCCTTGATGCCGTAGAGATGGGTTGAGCTTGGGCAGAGGGACCCTTTTCTAGCCTTCTGATCCCAGCCCACCTGTGGGTTTGTTTCCCCTTTTGTTTTGCTACCTCCAGGGATGGTCTCCGGCCATACATCACCCCGTGGGCCTGTATCTCCAACTGTCTCCTTCCAGCCCCTGGCCCGTTCCACCCCCAGGGCAAGCCGCTTGCCTGGACCTCCAATGTCAGCTCTGTCTACTGGCACCTCCTCCTCCTCTGCAGGGGGTGTTAATGACCATGCTGAGGCTACCATCTGCTCCAGTGGGGTAGTACTGCCCACCAACTCTGTGACTACCAGCATAGCACCTTCCAAGGTGCCCCTCCACTCAGCATTTACCAACACAGTGCCTTCCAAGTTGTCCACCAGCTCAAAGACCCCTGGTAAAATGTCCACTAATGTGCCCACCAGTCTAGCACCATCCAAATTGCCTGTCAACTCAACACGTGCTGGCACGGTGCCACCCAAGGTACCTACTGGCTTGGTGCCTGAACACAGGATGCCCACAAGCTTGGTGCCCAGCAAGGTGCCTGCCAACACAGCATCCATCATCAGGAGTAGCAACAGACCCGCAGAGGTGAGTCCTCACCCCTCCTAGGACCCTCTGTCCTTGGACCCTTGCCAGTCTCCATTCTGTCTCCAGCTTGGGCTGGTCCAGAGCCTGCTTCTGAGGGGATAGGGACAGCTGAGAAGTTGCCTCATCCAGACCCCACACTATGTCCTTTAGAGTAATAATAATCATTAGAGCTTCTAAGTGTGGATGTCTCAGGAGAGTAAGGCATGGTGGGCCACCCCCACTGGTCACATGTATTAATCTATTTAGATCTCACAGCTCCCTGGTAAGCTTGGTAATTCCATTTTTCAAAAGAGGTAATGGTGAGGGAGAGAGCAGGATGGCCTGTCTGCCTCGACACTTTGCTCTGCTCCGCCATGCAGGGTTTTACAGACAGCAGTTCCAGCCCAGCCAGCCTGGGCAGCTGCTCTGACCCAGCAGCCCGCTATAGCTGCTCCTCCAAGCCTGCATACATCACCCTACTGCTGCTGTCTGCCCAGAGGAACCAAGCCCATGGGGCCTCTTGGGTGCATGGCCAGGCCTCTGGCCCTGTAGTCGGCCATTCCATGGCCCTTAGGCCCAGGCTGAATGTTGATGCAGGATGGTGCCACACACCACCAAGGGTTCCTAGGGGTGGGGTTAAATTCACAAGCAGGCCAGTGAATAAGGACAGGGCTGCCCTGGAGGATGTCACCGCTGATGCTGCTGCAGGGCCTGGCTCTCCTCCCCTCTAGTGCCTTTCTGCTCTATGAGTGGGTTGACTGACTCCCCAAGGGAGGGTGGTCTCATGGGCACAATGGGCTGGGAATTACAAGGTTGGGGTGCTAGTTCATGCCCTGACCTAGGAATGGGGCCGCCCAACCTGGCTTGTCCCCCTGCCATCCCCAGTCCCTTCCATCCTCTTGTTTGTTTGTTTATTTATTATTTATTTAATTTATTTTTTACCAGGAGACTTCAGTGTCTCCAGCACTCACCGGTGCCTCTGCTGGAGGCAGCTCACCCTATGCAGACAGCAACTCCAACAGCTGGGGCTCAGGGCTGGAGCTGAGCAAGCCAGGTGGGCTGTCTTCCAAGATAGACGGCCAGCCATTCTCCGGCTGCTCCGCAGACCTTGCCATCAGCTACAGCAGCAGCTTGGACGCAGGACCTGACAACACCCCAGAGGAGAATGAATACATGTCAGGGGACAGCCATAGGATCCATGTAGTGGAGGGTCCCAGTGCTGACCTCCTGGCAGGCAACCCTGGGCTGCAAACTGCCCCCCAGCTCCAGGAAGAAGAGGTGCAGTGTGTTGATAGGGCCCTGTGGGTTCCTTGGCTTGGGGCGGCTACTGCCGCGGCACTCCTGGCCACACTCCTGGCTGTGCTGTACCGGCGGCGCCTACTCCAGTGAAGCCCCTCTGCCTTCCCTGCCATGTGTCTGCTCCCTTCCCATCTGTACATGTAGCCTGAGCCATGGAGCTGGTCCCCCTCACCTTGTCCCTTTTCTGGCACTGGCAGATGCTGGGTCAGAGGGAGCCACAGCCTTGGGTGGAGGCTGTGCCATTGCCGACTGAATCCTGGGAGGCAGCATTTCTGTCTCAGCTGGTATGCTCTGCAGCTCCCTTACCATCCTTGGTTTTCTGGGCTGTGAGCTGCCCCGTGCCCTCCAGACCTGCCACCCAGCAATCTGGGTTGTTGCTCTTGTCTGCTGGAGGAGGCCTCCATCCAGGCTTTATCTCTGTTTGCCCAAGCCCATGGATCGGGTACTGCTGAAGAGTGCAGGGGGTTGGCAACACCCCACCCCCTTCCCCATCCTGCCATGGTCCATGGCAGCTGACAGCAGATGTACAGGTAGGAGGAGCCACAGCAGCTCAGCCTGAGGCCATTGCCCTTGAGAGCAATGAGACCCTGGAGCTGCTTCTGGTCCTCTGCCCCTTGGGTCTTCTACCCATGCCAGGCAAGGGTGGGGAGGAGGTCTGGAGGTTCCTGTGGACCCCTGGGAAGGCCCCTTTCCAGTCTCCTCACCCCCTTCTCCTCTTTCCCTTTCTCCCAGTCCCCATGCTGGTTGGGAAGGGGCCCTTTGGGTTGGGGAGGGGACCTTCAGGGAAGAGCTCAGGCCGAAGTTTGGATATCAGCTCACCTCTTCCTGGGCTGTGTGGCCTGAGCAGATAGATGATCACACTTCTCTGGCCTTGCTTCCCCATATGGACTATGAGTATCATGGCTCACCCTTCTCTGGGTTCTAATGAGATTGAAGCATACAGGTGTTTGTCAAGTGCCTGGCCCAGGGCAGGTGGCCGCTAAATGCTGCTCCCACCTCTCTCCTGCCCACCCTGGTAGAGATGAGGGCAGGAGAGGCAGAATGCCCAGTGGGTAAGGGTGCAGCTCTGCGGTGTATTGTAGGCCTAGGCCAGAATCCCGCTCTGCCTCTCTGTGCTTTGGGGCAAGGTGTTAACCTCTGTGCCTGCTTTCTTAGCTGCGAAAGGGATGAGTAGTAAAAAAAAAAAAATTATGTGTGTGTGTGTATCTATCATCTATCTACCTATCATCTATCTGTCTATCATCCATCTATCTATCATCTATCTATCTATCTATCTATCTATCTATCTATCTATCTATCTATCATCTATCTATCTATCTATATCTATCTATCATCTATCTATCAATCTTTCTCCTAGTGTTGTTGTGAGGATTAAATGAGTTTAAATAAATCTTAGAATGGTTCCTGACATTTACTAAGGGTGGGAAGCATGTTGCTATCACTGTTCAAATTGGAGGGGCTGGAGCACTTGGCTACATCTTTAGAGGCAGACTCAGACCCTACTGCCTCCCCCCCTCTTTATATTTTCCCCTTACTTTCTCCTGTGCATTGGGGAATTGTTAGGGAGTGGGGAAAAAGGCACGTCCACTGAGGCAGCTGTGCAGGGTGGAGGCTGGGGTGCCCCCCAGAAGCCAGATGAATTGGAGTATCCTTGTGGGTTCTTTTCAGGTGCCATCGTAGGACAAAGGGCAGGCAAGGAGCCCTTGGAAGCTGATTCCATTTTTGGGCTCTGCAAGGAACAGGGACTAAAGTCCTGGGGAAACATGGGAGGTGCTGTCAGCCTTCAGAGTTCTGCACCCTGCTTTGGCTGCTACAGTCTTTCTTTGCACTGCCCTAAGGGACTTCAGCAACCTCTACCTTTAATGACCTCTACCTCTACCTCTGAACTTCTCTTCAGCCCTCACTCAAAACCCAACAACCTGTACCCTGAAACCAGAAGAGTTCGTACTCAAGCTCTCTGTACCACTCCCCACATCCTTACTCTTAACCTGTCCCCTGTGCTTCTCCCTCCCTCCCAGGTACACAGATCAGTGAACAATTCATTCATAAGTACTAGTTTTAATGTGTTCCTATCCCAGGGTATCTTTGGAAAAAAGTATCTCAAGAAAGTAATATGAAGTCTCAAAGAATGCTGTTTATTATTTTTTTGGCTCAACCTTTTAATATAAAAAATCACTGATGTAGCTGGGCCGGGCGTGGCTCAGTGGTTGAGTATTGACCTAGGATCCAGGAAATTGAGGTTCGATTCCCCGTCAGGGCACATGCAGGATTGCAGGCCCGATCCCTCATCAGGGGCGTGCAGGAGGCAGCAGATCAATGAGGACTCTCTCATCGTTGATGTTTCTCTCTTTCCATCTCCCTTCCTCTCTCTGAAGTCAATAAAGATATATTTAAAAAATAAAAATAAAATAAAAAACATCACTTAAAAAAAATCGCTGATGTAAAAAAATGCAAAAGTGTGACAGTGACAACCTATGAAATCCTGTGATTGAGAGTCCCCTGGAGAGCACCCAGTGGTGCATGCACAACCACTCACACAGACTCTGGCATGGAAACAAACCAGTGCTACCAAGAAGGGCCAGCATGTGTGCACTCCACCAATCACAGACCAACATCTACTCCAAACATCAGTAATAAAAAATCCGGCATCTCCCAGGAACAGCAAGGCAGCTTCTTACGATGAACCAGCACAAATAAACACAGCAAAAAGAGTACTGCGTACTTTAGGATTGTCATTCATGAGGATCGTCACAATCCCAATAAAGGAACAAATCCCCTTGCTCTCCCCATGACATCTTTTTCTCTAGCCAGTGTTGCCTCTGTTTATAGGGGCCTCTTAATCAGCTGCATTATCGTCTCCTTCGGTCAAAAACTTGGTAAGAGGAAGAACTGCCAAAGTACAAGCATATAAGGTACCACGTTCTCCTGCTGAAACATTTCTCTCAAAGCTCAAGAGTGGTCACTGCTGCTCTCTCCCTGGAAAACACCTTCGGATCCTGCTTGGTGATTTACTGAACACAGACCAATGCCATGCCCTCACCTTCCCTTCTGGATGTGCTCAGGTTTAATTGCATTTATGGGAATTTCTAGTCAGAGATCAGGAAGTTGTGTTTTACCTGCCAGGCCTTGGATTATTCATAGCTGCTTTTAAGAAACATTTTTTGTTATGGAAAACTTTCAAACGCACAAAAATATAAGCAATATGTATGGCCCCGGCCAGTGTGGCTCAATCCCTTGAGATTCTGTCGTCAGTTTGGTTCAAATAAACTCATAAAAATTCTTTCCAGGTTTGCCCTGGCAGGGTGTGACTTGTTTGAACATTGTCCAGAGCACCAAAAGGTTGCTGCTTAGATTCCTGATACACTGTTGTAATAACGTTATTTAACAGGCAAGGAGTGGAGGGGAGACCAAATAGTATAGCATGCTATTTGTTCAACTTTGCCAAAAAGCTGCATTTAACATTCCAATCTGTTCCCTGCTCTTTGATGGGGGAAGGGACTGGACAAAGGCAATTTACACCCAGGCCCAGTAAGGTCTGAGTGACGTGGGAGACTAATTTTGGGTCAGTCACACTTGAAAACGAGTCAGTGGCCAGGATGGGTGTGGCCACTGCAAGCACACAAATCTAAATATAAAAACTTCCAAAGGAAGTGCATGCGCTCTCGTGTGCGCACCTGCGTGCTCTCTCTCTCTCTCTCTCTCACACACACACACATGCCCTCTTGGGACTCCTGATGCAGGGGGGCTGTGCTCCCTGGTGCAAGCATGGTGCACAGCCATGTTGGGCTCCACACTTGGACTAATGGACTTTAATATGGCCTGAACACTGTACCACACCCAGCTACAACATGGAATGGGAATTCTGGACACTGGCTCTACTGACTTCACTGAACTCCCAGCTGTCCCCCTTTCAAGGCTGGCTTGGGGGAAATGGGACACTGCAACCCGAGAAATGTAACCCCACGCCAACACAGCCTTCTTCCATGTTCCATTTCCCTTGGGGGCTCCTGAAAATACTTTCAGCAGCGCGCCAAGAACTTCTCCCCCAAATGATGGGAATTTATCTACCAGCATTAAGGGCACATGCCCGGGTTGCAGGTATCCAATAGATTGATGTTTCTCTCTCTCCCTTCCTCTTGACAATACCTTCCTTCTACTTACTCAATGCAGTTTCTGTAAAAAAAACCCCCAACAGCAACAAAAACAAAAAATAATGCCCCTTGGCCTGGCCGGTGTGGCTCAGCAGTTGAGTATCGGCCTATGATCCAGGAGGTCACTGGTTCAATTCCTGGTTGGGGCATAGACCCAGGTTGTGGGCTCGATCCCCAGTAGTAGGCAGCCGATCAGTGACTCTCATCATTGATGTTTCTATCTCTCTCTCCCTCTCCCTGAATCAATAAAAACATTAAAAAAAATAATAATAATGCCCCTTCCTAAACCCACATCGTTTTATTAAAGTAAAATATACATACTGAAAAAGGTACTCAGAAACTGGAGGAGTGGCATGAAGGGTGGAAGTGGGGAGAGAAATATAGGAGGGGGCGGGAAAGGTGAAGAAGTGGAGGAAGCCCTGTGTTCTGGTTCTGTGTCAACAACCAACTCCTGGCATCCCTTACCCTCCTGAACCCACAAACCCTGAGGCTGGACCAGGTGATGTCAAATCCTCCCTCTTCCAAAGCCCTTGAGTGTCCTTGGCACAGATGGACACCGCACTGCTTCCTTCTCCTTCTGTACCTCCTCCTCCTTCCCCAGGTGCCATTGCCTTGCCATCTGAATCACTGATTTCCTAGTAATCAGACTCTGTCTTTTATTTAATCAATTCTCTTGTACTTAACATAAGAAGAAAGAAAAATCCTTTCATTATCACAAGCAGCTGGGAATCAACGTCTGTCGAGAGGCCTATCCAAAGGAATCTGGTAATTGCTAAAAGAATTACTTTTTTTATTTGCTGTTATGATGTCCTTAGAATTGTGAGTCCAGTGACACTCTTTTGCAGCAATTCTGCTATTCTTACTTCTAGAACTTAAGACCCTTTTGTTAGATGGGCCAGGTACAGAAACCTGGGTACCGAGATTCACCAGAGTGGGAAGCCCCGGATGCCTAGCAAGGGGTAAAACTGGGAAAACAAGAACATTGTCCCCAGTGGAACCTCCCCTCCCCTAGTATATCTCTGGTCATGCTGTTTAGACCTCCTGAGCATTTCCACCCTAAAGATAACTTCTAGGCCTCCGTTGTATTTCAGCTCCAGGCCCAGATAAGCAGCAAAACCAGACAAGTGGTGCTGTGGCTGCCTCAGGACCAGCTACATTGACTAATGACCCCCTGCCCTAGCACCGACCAACCAGTGGACCAACCAGTGGAGAGCAAGACCCTGAAACAGCACACCTGGAAAGCTGGTGAATATTCTATTGAAACCCTCCTGAGACCTCCCCTAAGATTCCTGCCTGCAAGAAAGAGTTAAATACTTAAATGCCATCAGGACAAAGGACCCAGCATACTTCTCACTAGGAGAGCACACCAGCAGCATCTCCATCCCTCCAAGGTAACCCCACAAGACTTGCAACCAGGGGAACAATCGGCAGCGGCAGCTCGTATGGGGCTTACCCCCTGAACCTGTCTCCAAGGCCCCTTCTCTCTCTGACTTCTCAGCGAGCCAAAGCACCAGGCCTAGACTCTCCTGCTGCTGCTTCTGTGCTTTCTTGTTTCACTGTTCCAAGTATTTTTTTGCTGCCATCATGGCCCCAATACTCTGGCTCAGTGCTGTGTAGCCCTTCCCCTTTGGATATCTCCCACCCCCTTTTAATAAATTTAGTTTTTCTTAGTTCACCCATCTGAGATGGCTATTTAGTCTGCCCGGACAGCACCACCATGTTAACCTTTCACCTTTGACATTTCCTTCATTCAACCTGCAGTTTGAGGATTTACTATGGCCAGATGCCTGCTCATGAAGATAAAGAGAACTTTCAATTTGGAGTGCTTGTTCTGGACCTCTCCCCCTTTTCCCTCCTGACTTCACTCTTGGGAGTATTTTATTCGGAGACATTATCCTCTGTTCTCAGGGCCATGGCAGGCTGTCACCTTCTGGGCTGGCTCAGTGCCCTTATCCCTTCCCACTCTGTCCAGATGGATCAATCTCCCTTCTGAATTTCACCTTCCTTATAATCTAGTCTTCTCTTTAAAACATGTTAATGAACATATGCTTGCTGTAAAAAATTGAAATTCCAAACTATATAGTAAT